CTGTGTTGTTATTTATTATTTGCATTAAAATATTTCCTTCTGGCTTTGGTTGAGAATAGGGTTTCAATGTACTAGGCACTGGACAAACATGCAAGATGAAAATGTCCTTGCCGCAAATAGTTTATAATCTCAAAAGGCCAGGCAGACCACAAGAAAGGAGAGAGGAGCAGAGCTATTAAACCCATTTTATGGATGGGAAAATAAAGACACAGAAGTTACATGACTTGCCCAAAGCTGCAGAGAAATCTGTGGCAGAACCAAAAATGGAACCGAGTCTCCAGTGCCCAGAGAGTGCAAGCTCCCTCAGTGCGAATCAGTGCAGAACCACATCCTTCACTTTACAGCTTTCCCCTCTGTAACAGAAAGAGAACAATTAACCAGCACTCCAGTCAACAAAGACTGTTTGTACAGTTCTGTTTGACTCGCCGATGGAAGATCCTGAAGATACAAAAATTCATCATCAACATCATAAAAGTCCTTACCTTCCAAGTGCCCTCTTCTATGTCTTCTCAGCTCACCATGATGGAAATGAAGAGTGCATAACTGGGGACAAAAAAGGGGCAGCTTTAGTGGAAGAGAGAGGAGGACAGACCCTAACTGAGTAGGTAGGAATCATCCGTCATTTTAATAGTCATCTGATTATCAGCAGAACCATTACAAACCTCTTCTAAAGGAGAGTTTGGCAGGAAATATCGAGGCAGCTAGTAAATTAACAAACCCAGGGCAGATGCTATTTTCACCACTCATTTTACAGCAGCTGTTTAGAATGCTAGCTAAGGAAATATCTTAAACTGCTTTATTTCCAGTACCTACTGTACAAGCACACAGAGTACAACCACAGACATTATAATAAAGGAAAGCACAAACGCCTCACTGAGATTACCCAACGTGTGAAGGTGGAAAAGACACTCTCATGGCCATATTCACGATGAAGATTCAGGATGATGTCATCTTAACTTTCGCACCAGAAAGATAATGGAGCAAATAATTAGGCAATCAATTTGCAAACATCTAGGTGATAATAAGGTGATAAGTCACAGTCAGCATGGATTTGTCAAGAACAAATTGCGTCACACCAACCTGAGAGCTTTCTCTGACAGGGCAACAAGCCTTGTGGATAGTGTGGAAATGATAGATCTTGTCTTTAGTACAGTTTTTGATACTATCTCCCATGCCCATCTCATAAACAAACTAGAGAAATACAACCTTGATGGAGCTACTATAAGGTGGGTGCATTAAGGAGAGGTGGGTTGTGTCCATGGGGGCTCATGATACCATCTACATGTTTTGTTAGTCTTTAAAGTGCTACCAGACTATTTGTTGTTTTTTACGTTTTTCCCGCTACAACTTTTCATAGAATCATAGAATAATAGGACTGGAAGGGACCTCGAGAGGTCATCGAGTCCAGCCCCCCGCCCTCAAGGCAGGATCAAGCTCCGTCTACACCATCCCTGACAGATGTCTATCTAACCTGTTCTTAAATATCTCCAGAGAGGGAGATTCCACCACCTCCCTTGGCAATTTATTCCAATATTTGACCACCCTGACAGTTAGGAATTTTTTCCTAATGTCCAATCTAAACCTCCCCTGCTGCACTTTAAGCCCATTACTCCTTGTCCTGTCCTCAGAAACCAAGAGGAACAAATTTTCTCCTTCCTCCTTGTGACACCCTTTTAGATATTTGAAAACCGCTATCATGTCCCCCCTTAATCTTCTTTTTTCCAAACTAAACAAGCCCAGTTCATGAAGCCTGGCTTCATAGGTCATGTTCTCTAAACCTTTAATTATTCTTGTTGCTCTTCTCTGTACCCTTTCCAATTTCTCCACATCTTTCTTGAAATGTGGTGCCCAGAACTGGACACAGTACTCCAGTTGAGGCCTAACTAGTGCAGAGTAGAGCGGCAGGATGACTTCACGAGTTTTGCTTACAACACACCTGTTGATACAACCTAGAATCATATTTGCTTTTTTTGCAACAGCATCACACTGTTGACTCATATTCAACTTGTGGTCCACTATGACCCCTAGATCCCTTTCCGCCATGCTCCTTCCTAGACAGTCACTTCCCATCTTGTATGTATGGAACTGATTGTTCCTTCCTAAGTGGAGCACTTTGCATTTCTCTTTATTAAACTTCATCCTGTTTACTAACTCGGCTCCTCCTCTGAAGCATTCCCAGAAAGTACGGTTCACAGTCAAGGTGGGAGGACATCAGTTCTGGATCCAATTCTGTTCAATATCTTCATCAGTGATTTAGATAATAACATAGAGAGTACTCTAATATAAAGTTTGTGGGTGATACCAAGCTGGGAGGGGTTGCAAGTGCTTTGGAGGATAGGAATATAGTTCAAAATGATCTGGGCAAACTGGAGAAATGATTTGAAGTAAATAGGGTGGAATTCATTAAAGACAAACGCAAAGGAAGGAACAATCAATTGCACACATACAAAATGGGAAATAATTGTCTAGGAAGGAGTACAGCTAAAAGGATCTGGGAATCATAGTAGACGGCAATCTAAATATCAGTCAACAATGTAACACGGTTGAAAAAAAAGAAGCAAACATAATTCTGGGATTTATTAGCAGGAGTGTTACAAGAAACACACAAGTAGTAATCCCTCTGGTTTACTCCACACTAATTAGGCCTCAGTTGGAGTACGGTGTCCATTTCTGGATGCCAAGTTTCGGGAATGATGGGGACAAATTGGAGAAGGTCCAGGGAAGAGCAATAAAATGATTAAAGTTTTAGAAAACATGACCTAGGGGAAAGATTGTAAGAACTGCATTTGTTTAGTCTGGTAAAGAGAAGACTGAGAGGGGACATGATAGCAGCTTTCAAGTACATAAAAGGTTGCTACATGGACAAGGGAAAAAAATTGTTTTTAGTCTCTGAGGCTCAGATGAAAGGCAATGGGTTTACATTGCAGCATGGGTTGTTTAGGTTGGACAGTAGGAAAAACTTTTTTTGGGTGGTTAACTAGTGAAATAAATTGTCTAGGCTGTGGACTCTTAGTCCTGCCATGAGGGCAGGGGACTGGAGTAGATGTCCTCTCAAAGTCCCTTTCTGTCCTATGATCTATGATTCTATTTTGTCATTCATCTACATCCTGAACCTCTGAAGCAGTGTTCCCCTCATGAACCACACTATTTTGTTCTATCTGTATCCTGGGTGCACTGGAGGTGTGGCATGCAGGACAGATGTACAAAAAGCCTGCTGAAACATTGCTAACTTCATTCACGGCATGCAACGAATGAGGCAAGCCCTCATGGCGTGAAGCAAAAGGTAGCTTATATCATATAAACGGCATGGACAGATCACGCACCAGCCTCTGTCAGGTTCCCAAAGAAAAACTTTGCAGCATCTCTTGCCACATTTTGTTCGAGCCATGTATTTCATTTGCTCTTCATTTCTTTCTTAGACTCTTCGTAATTCCCTTCTCCCTGTGAAGTAAATTAGGGCACACTCGTAGCAGTTAGCCACACCCTATGATGGATAAAGAGGAGATATACTGATCTGGAGGAAGGGGCACCAAGAAGTTTCCAAGCATGCCTCCAGAGTTACCTGGTACAAGGAGGAGTGCACGAATTACTATGCATCTTTACAGCTAACCACACTGCTTGGTGCATATGTGCGAGGGGGATCTATGGTTCCATCTACTTCCTGCCATTTTTTATTAGATTGCTCCCAGGAGGAAGAGTCTCAGTAGCAGCCACTGTGCTGTCTTGAAAGCAGAGACCACAGTGCTAGCCAGCCCTAATTCAGGCCCTATGTGGTACGACAGTGGTGAGGAAATCTTCTTGTGTCTTCCCTCCCCTTCATGCACTTGCACCCACAGCCTCTCCCTTGGTTACTAAGGATAAACCTTGATGTCCTCACTTGACTTTTACTCAGTTGTCAGTCTGGCAAATCTCCCACTGATGCACCACCAGCATCACATTGGATGATTTCAGCAGCTTTTACTGAGTGCCTGAAAATGAGGTAGTGTTGGATTTTTTTTACTGTGTGAGAAATTGAAATGAAAAAAAAAAAGACTTGTAACCTCTGCTTCTGGATAGTGCAGGGGATAAAATTCTTCCCTCTCCTGTGGTCTGGCCAGTAGCAAACAAAGTTCAGCACTGCTCTGCTTTTTCGAACATTTGAAAGAGTCCGCTGCTTGGTGCAGACTAGAAGCCTTCTGAAGAGGACACGCAAACCTCCCCACAAATAATTGCAGAATCCATCCTCAGCATGTGTGTGCAGTGTGGGGGTGGAGTCTGTTTTACTTTTCAATAATGAATTTATTCTGCAAAGTAAAGATCCCCCCCCCAATCTCTTGCTTGTTGTATAGACTTATACTGTGCTGCGACTGGGAGTTGCATGCTATTCTACTCCAACATAAAGAAAATAAAATGACGATGCACAGTTCTCAGTCATATAAATACAAAAAAAAGAAAAAAGAGACTGTCCATCTGGGATGTATTACCCGGAGGGTCATGTAGATGGCATGGGAAATAATAGTTCTATTCCATTTGACATTGGTAAGTTGTCAGCTAGAGTCTTATGTCCAGTTTTGGGCACCACAGTTTCAGAAAGATGTGAACAATTTGGAGAAAGTCCAGAGAAGAGCAGCAAAAATAAGAGGTTTAGAAAATATGAATTATGAACAAAGATTGAAACAATCGCCCACGTTGAATCTAGAGAAGAGAAAGCTGAGGGAGGAGCTGATAACCGTCTTCATTTTGCACAGGTGATCGTTGTTGATGGAATGTATCAGCATCAGAGACATTTATTTTTTCTGTTGTTCACTTAATGGAAGAGACAGCCTGTCGCTGGAAATCGAGACAGGGAAAATTAATCAAACTAACATTTCTATAGTGCTTTACATTTTCTTAGTGCTGTACAAACATTGACTAATTCTTCTGCCATGCTTCCGAGGGAGGTAAATATAATGACACACAGTCTGCATCTGAGGAAATTGGGAAGCAAAGAGATTCATCCCTCATCCCTCAGAAAAAGCTGACGCGAACAGACTTGGCACAAGGGTCCTGTGCAAAGTTCGAAGAATAGAATCTCAAGGAGTTGGAATAGCACAGTCCAATTGCCTCTGGTGGCGATTTCAAGGGACCAGGCTGCCAACAGGGAGGGGGAGGCAAAGAAAGCAACTGCGCCAGGGCCTGATGATTCAGAAGGGCCTTGGCTCCTAGCCACTGCTGCTGCTGCTACTGGCTTTAAATTGCTGCTGGAGCACCAGGTGGCACACTCCAGGTGGGGCTAAAGGATGGTAGGCAGATGCTGGCTCCAGTCCGGCTCCTTTAATTCCCGGCCTCCTCCTAGAGCATGGAACCGCCACCTCCCCACTTGGCCCAAGGACCCAACCATTTTTTCAGTTCCCCTGTGTGTGCTGCTCCATGCCTATTGGATAGGGTTGGCTAATGGAGCTATGTAATTGTGGAACCACCAATCAGGTTGCCACTTCTCCCTAAGGTCTAGCTTCTCCCGAAGCAGGCTTCGGGGTTGCAGAGGGAGGTGCAGAGATCATCCATGAGCTCTCGCTGGCTAGGTC